TGCCTCAGCCTCAGCCTCAGCCTGCTTCAGCCTCAGCCTCAGTCTGCCTTCAGCCTCGGCCTCAGCCTCAGCCTGCCTCAGCCTCAGCCTGCATCAGCCTCAGCCTCAGCCTCAGCCTGCCTCAGCATCAGCCTGCCTCAGCCTCAGCCTCAGCCTGCCTCAGCCTCAGCCTCAGCCTGCTTCAGCCTCAGCCTCAGTCTGCCTTCAGCCTCGGCCTCAGCCTCAGCCTGCCTCAGCCTCAGCCTGCATCAGCCTCAGCCTCAGCCTCAGCCCTCAGCATCAGCCTGCCTCAGCCTCAGCCTCAGCCTGCCTCAGCCTCAGCCTCAGCCTGCTTCAGCCTCAGCCTCAGTCTGCCTCAGCCTCGGCCTCAGCCTCAGCCTGCCTCAGCCTCAGCCTGCATCAGCCTCAGCCTCAGCCTCAGCCTGCCTCAGCATCAGCCTGCCTCAGCCTCAGCCTCAGCCTGCCTCAGCCTCAGCCTCAACCTGCTTCAGCCTCAGCCTCAGTCTGCCTTCAGCCTCGGCCTCAGCCTCAGCCTGCCTCAGCCTCAGCCTGCCTCAGCCTCAGCATTAGCCTACCTCAGCATTCAAAATGTAGCCCGAGAATGGAGTTCTGGGATTTTGAAGAAAACGATGTGGCCTACAGTTGGCTCCGGGCATTCAAAATCATTCCCAGGAATGGAATTTTGGGAACTCGAAGACCACGAAGTGGCCTACAGTTGGCCCCGGGCATTCAAAATCATGTCCAGGAATGGAGTTCTGGGAACTCGAAGACGAAATTGCCTACAGTTGGCTCCGGGCATTCAAAATCATGCCCAGGAATGGAGTTCTGGGAGCTCGAAGAACATGAAGTGGCCTACAGTTGGCTCCGGGCATCTAAAATCATGCCCAGGAATGGAGTTTTGGGAACTCGAAGACCACGAAGTGTGTTACTGTTTGCTAAAAAAGGAGTCCCCGGATTCCCGCGGCACCCGTCCGGCATCTGCCCAGACCCCCTTGGGGAGTCATGATGCTGTCTTTTGAGATCATTCGAAACCTATCAGTTTTCGCTGTTAGGTAAAATCCGCCTGTAGGGGGACACGCCCGACTAAATTCTACCTCAGCATTTTGACCGATTCCCATCACCATCCCCATCCACATAACGATCCCCTCCATCCCACCACCCCAGTTGGGGATATGCCCTTCGAAGCCCGAAGGGAACGGCTTATATCTCCATCTAGGGTGGGAAATCTCCCAGGAGGCCCAGACCACGCTGGTGGGGATAGGGATCGGGTACATGATGCTAACTATCGGCGGCGAGCGGGGGGGAGCCACGAGGCTCGGAAGTGTTCGGGACTTCTGAGACATGTGTTCGAGGCCCTCTCCGAAGACACGGAAGGCTTCTCGGAAGGCTGGATGGTTTCTGGGAAGCCTTGCCGCTTTCTGAAAAGGCCTTTTCCTTCTCGCTTCCCCCCCTCGCTGGAGGGTTTCTCCGAAGGGCTTAGGCGACCCGTCCTCCTCGTCCTCCTCCTCCTCCTCCTCCTCCTCCTCCTCCTCCTCCTCCTCCTCCTCTTCCTCCCCCTCCTTCTATAGGTCAAGGGGGCCGCGCTTCCTCTCCCTTCCCCCAGCAGGGCGCCCGCCGCGTGCGATAGGCCCCTGCGCTTTCGTGGCCTGGCGGCTGCGGTGTTGCTGCCGCCCCCCGTGGTCGCGGCTCCTGCGGCGCTGTGGCACCACGAGGAGGAGGACACCCTCCCCAACCTGGCGTAGACGTCTTCGGCGGCGGCGGTCCTCGGCTCGACGGCTGCTGCAACTGGAGGCGGCTCGCACCTCGCTCACAACACATCTCGGCCACAGCTCGTAGATGTCGGCGCGGGGACGAAAGGATAACAAGAAACAAATCGATCCTCGCTGGAGCTGCCTGGCTACTCGTCAGTGCGGCTATGCGAGGAACGATGCATCCAACCAGCGATGCTATCGCTGCGGCAAAAACCGCGCGGGCAAGCCTCCACCTGATGGCCCGCCCGAGCGGCGACCAGCTCGCTCCCCTGCGCCTCGGCGGCGCGCCCGTCAGTCCAGCCGCCCCGGGGAGCAGGCCAAGGACCGCGGGGAGGGTGACGAGGAGCCTGCCGAGGAGCCCCCAGCTGCCGCCTGACACGCTGTGGCCCGTGCCCGCAAGGCGCTTGGCGCGCTCCGACGTCTGGGCCTGAAAGATGGCAGTCCCCTCCTCGCGGCGGCAAAGACAAGCTCCAGGAGGCAGTGGCGGCCGAGTTGGCTACCAGGACGCCAGACGACCTCCTTCGACGGGCTTTGGACTGACAGTCCCAGCGGGGCCGTGACGTCACAGGGCTTCGCCTGCAAGTTGCAGAGCTCAAAGAGCAGCTTGACGCCAAGGCCGCCGCGCTCGAGGCTGCAACAGCTGAGTTGGCCATCGTGGACTCAGAGGTGGCTACGGCACGAGCAGCGGTTCTTGCAACAGGAGCTCGGCCTGATGCGATCGGCAGCGGGGATCGCGAGGTTGATGACGCTGTTGCTCGCTTGGGGCACAGCGTCAACAGCGCGACCACGGCCTCCGCGGGAAAGCAGGGCACCTACCTCGAGTCACTCAGCAAACACTACAAAGAGCTGTGCCCGACCATCGCGCAGCAGCGCCAGGGAGTGGTGACGCAGCCCACGGCCCCATGCGCAGCAGCCGCAGCAGCGCGCATGGCAGCTCAGACCATCGGGCAGCCGCGCCAGGGAGTGGCGACTCAGCCCGCGGCTCCACGCGCAGCTGTCTCAGCAGCACCCATGCCAGCAACGCCCGTCGCCCCACGTTCATGGGGCGTCACAATCCCCAGCGAGGATAGGGATAGGGAGGCGACCACAGGCAGCTAGCCTGGTGCTGATCCTCATCTCAGCGCTCTGCCCTGCGCACGAGGGCCACCAGCTCGACATCGTGCCGCGCCTGCGTTAGGATTGCACCATGCGTTTGCTGGCGCGGGCGATGGTAGCGCCCCATGACAGCCACCACACTCGTGACAATGCAGTTTTGGCTGGATGCGCTGACACGGGGCCACCGTCTGGAGCACGCAATGTCACGGGAAACGGCAGTTACACACTTACTGCGACGACAATATTGGCTGAAGATAGGGAGCGCAATAAAAGCAGTCCCCCTTCGGGTTTCGTCTCGCAGCTGGACAGTTTTGATCATCTTTGGCGATGCGAGCAGCAGGTCCTGGACGCGCGTCGCGCGCATGTCGCCGCAGGGTCGTCCGTGCACACGGCGTCGTCAACGGACGAGCCGGCTTCCGCTTCGTGCGTTCGAGGTCCGCGGGGCTCCCCAAGCCCGCTGCGTGTGCTGACCAGGTCAGGTGCCCCTGCCGAGGGGGTGGTCGGCGCCGCCTGGCCTGGTGACGATGTTGCGCCGGGGTGTGCAGGACTGGGCAGCGTGACGAATCGGACTGACCGTGCCTGTGCGCCCCCTGACGATCACGTGACCGACAACGACCCATGGAGTTGGATACGCCACTTCAGCACCTACTCGCGCCAGTGGGCGGGAGATCAGATCGCCCGGGATGACCTCGTGGCCGACGATGACTGGATGCGGCGATGCATTCCTTACGCCGGGCTTCTCATATCAGAAGATGAGGCTCTCAGCGCCTGGGCTGCAGACCCCGCTCGTCTACGTGCCCTTGCTGAGCACGTGCGCCTCTACGCATCGTTTGAGTTCAGGGATGATCCGCCAGCGCATCATCCGTTATCAGAAGATATACGACCGCGACCGCGCCAAGTGGTGCGAGCTGCTGTCGAATCGTCTGCGCCTTGTGCCTGGTGCCCGCCTGGCCATCGCCAGCGAGCAAGTGGACCCACCCTATGCCGACCTCTCAGTCAGTGGGGCGACGCGGCAGTTCGAGACGGCGCTCCAGATGATTGCCGTCGCCAGGGATCTCATTCCGCCAGACGGGTCATCGCAACCGACGGCTGGAGTTGCTGCACCCAACGCGGACGATGCCCCCACGAGCGACGATCAGGGCGACCAGGATTTGGACGTCGATAACCCCGACACGGACGCCACCAACCTGATGCAGGTTCGTGCCTCATCGGCTGGGCCACTGGCGGGGGGGCGCCATCGTCGCCGTCAGCGCCCCTCCCCGCGCATTGCGGGCGTGGATCCCAGCCGGGCCCCGAGCTCCCTGCGCCAGTGAGGTCTGCAGATCGGGCCAGGACTCTGTTGGACGTGGACTCCCTGGCGGCCGGTCGCTCAGGAAGCGAGCGGGCAAGCGGAGGTATGCGACGAAGATGGCTTCGTTCAACCGTTCAGGTTGGCCGCAGACGCAGGACTTTCTGGGCCAGCTGCGTCGCATTCAGGTGGTAGCAGGTCAAGAGCTACACCTACAAGGCCATCGTCGGCTTCTCGCTGAAGAGTGGTGCCTGAAGCGAGGCTGGCATGCCTTCATCAGCGACGTTGATACCCTTGGCGGAGTTGGGCTTTTCGTTCGGAGGCCTATCAGAGTGGTGCCACTGCAGGCGTTCACTCCCGCGCGCGAGCTCATTCCTGGGCGCAGTGTGGTTATGATGATTCAGTCTGGTATTCGTGGTGGCCTCATTGTTGGCGCGACGTGCCTGCAGCACGGGCCCCGCTTGAACGGTGTCAACGTGGACTACCTTCGCACCATTGGCGGGTGCCTCAGCTACTACGCCAAACCGTGTGGCATGGCAGGCGACTGGGGCGCGCCGCCAGAAGTCCTGCATGAGCCACAGCAGTTGCCTCCGAGGAGGGCACCTAGAAGGACTCCGCCTCAGCCAGCCACACGACATGGGACTATTGGTTTGCTCTTGACTTTCCTGCTACCACCATGCCGACACCATCACGAGTTGGCGGTTTCCCACCTAGGCAGCATTATCCCATCTGCACGGAGATTGGACCGCGGCCGCGCAGCCAGCGCCGATGTCGACTTGCCAAGCCGCATGTGCTGCCACCCAAGCCTATGGAGAAGCCTCTGGATGGTGATGATCAGGACGATGAACCGAACTTCCCTGCCCGAGGCGCGGCCGCAGTGAGCTGGATCCAGCTCATGCGTGACGATTATGAGCAGGGCCTCGGGCAGGCGCAGCATCATCATGAGCGCCTCCAGCACCTGATGGCCAGCCTGTACCAGGGCATTGAGGACGAATCGATTTGGATGTTTGACCTCGGCTACAGGTCGGGCCACAGGTCCCGTATATAAATATACCACTGCAGGAGGTGCCTTGGCTCGGCAGCAGCCTGCGGGGACGCGGCAGACACGGGCGCTGCGCACTCTACAATCGCATGTCTTGGATCTACGTGTTTTGTATTTGAAGCACAACAAGCAGACGTGCGCGCGCACCTGGTACTGTATGGGTGGTCTTGGTAGGAGCGGTCGACTACGGGCTCATATTGGTGCCCCTTTGGTCAGCATCATAATTCGCGTGCTCACATGCATCACTACACAGCCCGTCATTTCTATCCCGCTAATGCTGCAGTTCCTTGGTAATTTCCTCGGTGAGGCTGCTTGGCATGAAGAGTACCGACTGGCAGGTGCTCGAGCTCGCTTCTTTCGCAAGTGGCTGCGTACTTCGTTAGTAACTAGCCAGGCGTTGTGCATAGATGGACCAAGCCCAAGGCTGGCAGCTATATACAATTGCGGGCCCAAATGGTATTTCTGGCTTTCCAGGAGATTGTGGCCTCGCAGCGAGAAGACTGGGGTCATATTTGAGAAGGCCTCGATGGGGCCGCTCCAGGGGCGCGAAGCTGACCTGAGCGAACTAGCCGACCTGCTCCAGCAAGGTCCGGGCTACCTCCCATTGCAGATCAAGGGTTTGCGCGATGCTGCCATTAGATATCCATCCAGCACGGCGGTTGGGGCTGACGGGTTCCGCCCGCGCCGCTGGGCCCTCGCCGGCAACGGTGCACTTATGCGAATCCTGGGGTACTTGGCTTATTTTGTTGACAAAAATGCGCATCATCCCACTCGCCAAACCGTCTGGGGGATACCGCCCGATTGCGCTACTTCAGTTGGTTTATCGTCTTCGGGGTAAGGCGCGACTGGATTGGGTCCGTGGCTGGATTGGGCGCCTTGGGAGGCCGTGCATCGCTCTCGGGGCGCAAAAATCGACGACCGACGTGGCCGCCCGACTGTTGGCCCATGCGGAAGCAGCGGAAGTTGGCACGGAGGAGGACATCACCATCCAAGCCATTGCTGATATTCCAAGGTGTTCCGATAGGGTCCCTTGGCGGCTGCTGGCAGCGGCAGTGGCAGGGCATATTTTCCTGGTCGGCTACTCGCTCTAGCGCTGCAGATGTACATATCGCCTCGCAGGATTGCGTGGGATGCGTCATTCTCTGAGCAGATCTGGGCGACCAGAGGTGCACTATCCGGTTGTCCTATGGCCATGTCCTGTTTGATACGTGTGATGCTGGAGCCTTTCGACGTAATGTATACCAGCGTAGACCACATCCCCAGGACCATATATTTGCACGCCGATTATATTACGATTGCTACCATGGGCTCCCAATGTAAGATTGTCGAGTCGGCCGTCACCGTTTTGTCGTCTCCCGCGTCGACTCTGGAGACCATGGGCCTCGCCCCAGCCATGCACAAGATGACGATTACCTCGACGGCGTCGCACTTTGGGAAGAAAGTCGCTTGTCGTCTCCGACACGTTGGGTATCGATACTGTTCGGCCTTGGAAGTCTCAGGGATTGAAGTCGCACCTGGGCGTCGATTGAAATTATCCAGGCTGCGTTCTTGCATTGCCAAGACGCGCGCACGCGGATGCCCAGGTTATCGGTCATTGAGAAAGCTGGCGCTTTGGTCTCTCGCTTTTCTAGACAGGCTTTGCCGGCCGCTACGCAGCGCGGGGTAGGGGCGCATGGAGCGCCACCCGCACTTGCCCAGCATGTGCGAATCGTCATGAGAGGCACGTGGTATACTCCAGGGGCCACTACCTCGGCCTGGTTGTCGGCGTGTGTTCAAGGCGCCTCCATGGGAGATGACCCGCAGGTCCATTGGTGGGGCCAACCTGTCTATCAGTGGTCCCTTCTGGTTCGGGGCCCTTCCATCTCTCGCGGCGCCTTGCTAAGGCGTGGAAGAAGTTGGTTTTCCGACTGTGGGGGCAAGTTGCCGGTCGTGCGGGGGCGATGCGGCTCTCCCCAGTGGGGTGGAGGTTCGTCTCTGCCTTTGTCGTGGTCACGGCTTTAGGTGACATGCTCGACTTCCGCATCGATGCGCCGTTCAGTGCGCGGGAATTGGCGAGAGCTGCTGCGGTTCGTAAGTTGCGGGCCCAGCGGGCCAAGCGCACCAACCCCGCCGACGACGGGATCGGCCCCGAGGGACCCATCGGCGATTAGACCGAGCCCGTCCTGAAGCTACTCCACCAAGCCCCTGAGGCCCCTGATGGCGCCAGTGACTGCAGTGGGCCTGAGGACGACGACGTTGCCCCAGAGGCCCAGGCCTGGAGCCCCACATGCAACAAACGTGCCACGCTGCGAACGATCGTGAGCGGAGGATTCTGGGCCCCCAGCAGGCTCTGCAAGCACGGGTACGCGGAGAACCCCAAGTGCCCTTGCTGTGATCATGGGTATTGCTCACCATATCACATCATATGGGATTGTGTGGGTCGCGAACAGCAGCGGCAGGCCGCTTTAGGCGAGGCTGACTCGTGAGGCGTTCCTGCGAGGGCCCGCGGCCCGTGGTTTTGGACTCGGGGTGCCGTCTCGCTCGTGCTTCCCTGCGTTGCAGCCTCGAGAGATGACAGCGATCGCCTGCGCGTTCGCCACGGAGAGCTGGAAAACGCCACTGGCGACATTCTCGCAGACGGCGCCTGCAGGAAGGCGTAGTTCTGGCCCGAGGCGTCGCGCGCGCGGTGGGGGGTCCTCAAGCGCGCGTCCACGATTGGGCCCATGGCGTTCGGTGCCCTGCCTGGGCCCCCACAGAGGCCACCACGGGCTGAACTTTATGCGTTTCTGGAAGTCCTTGACGTGTGTAGCGCCCCCGTGCATGTACATGCGGATTGCATGGGGCTCGTCGGAGGTTTGGTCCGGGGCCCAAAGTACGCCGCGGGCCCTAGGCGGCCCAATGCCGATCAATGTGTTAGAATCTGGAAAAAAGTTGATGTTCACGGCGGCCAGGGGGAGGCCACTGAGGCTTCACATGTTCGGGGCCACCAGAGGGGTTGCCCGATTAGTGCGAGGGCCAATCGATGGGCCGATCTCGCTGCTAGATTTGGCATGCGTTCACATGCCCCTTCCCGTCTTCAGATTCGCGCGATGAGCCTGGCTCAGCGCTCCGCGCGCCGTGTGTTGCATTGGACTGAAATTGCGCATTTGCACCATGTCAGTCTTGGGAGGACCGAGACGCGTGCTCGTGCCAAGCGAGTCTCGCGTCGGCGGCGAGCCAGTCGAGCGGCCACTCCTCCTCCTCCTCCTCCTCCTCCTCACTTGCACGACAACGTCCCTGAGGGCAGCGGGCTTGTTCGCTGCGCCTGCTGTAAGAAGGGGGCGAGGACTGGACGCTCCAGGCGCAAGCTAATGGCCACTACGTGTGATGCGAGATTATCAGGCAGTGTCAGCCGAGTCCGACCCCCCCTCCCCCCCCCCCCTTCGTCAAGGCTTCCTGCGGTTCGGTTTGTGCCTGCGCCTCCCTGGGGCCAAGGCAGTGGCGGAGAGACGCCGCCCGCTGCCTCGCCCACTGAGGATGTTGGCCACGCTCGGCCCCCCGCGAGCCTTCTCGTCTGCTCGGACTTGGCCCCGAGGGATTTCAGGGACAAGGGCGCGGGGGGGGGGGGGGGGGCGAGGGGCCTGCAGCTCCTCAGTGGAGCCACCGCCTCAGCGGCAGCGCGTCAATTTCTGTCCGATTGTTGCCACTCCCGCGGCCGACAGTTATGAGCATGCCGCTGCCGCCCAGCGAGTCAGCTCCAGGGACTGCGCCCCTCCCCGTCGAGGCGAGTTTGGCCCCTCAGCGGTCCGCCCGCGTGAAGGGCCAGCCTTTCTCCCCGACCGCAGGGGGCAGCGCGCTGGCAGTGGCGGGGGCGATCGGCCCACGGAGGCTGGCTACACCATCCCTGCCGCCTTCGCCCCAAGGACGGGCATCGTGCCCGCGGTGGCCGCCCGCGGCCACCGCTTGCGGGTTGCTCCAGGGGTTTGCATCCCACGCGTGCCTTGCGGATTTTATTCCACGGGGGCAGCGGGCCACCTTCTTATAGATTGTGGCGCGGACGAGAATCGCATTTCTGATAGGGCTGCCCGCAACCGGAAATTCCCCCTTTCTGGCCGCCGCCCTGCCGACGAAGGGCGGGATGGACGTCGCGTTCTTTCGGTGCCCAGGCCTTTGCGGGCCGCGGATCCCGAAGTTCACTGGCCACGGCTCCTCGACGGGCCCAGCAGCCCAGGGCCTGTCGCGAACGAAACCTCTTATTTCATGTTTCATACATTTACTTCATTACAAGTTTGCGCTCCGCGCCCTAGCCGAGATCCCTCGGGCGGGCTTGCGTGCGTTCGGAGCCCTGAGGGAGGCCCAATTGCCCCCCCCTCTGCCGTTGTGCCCCCCTGTGCTTCTGACGCGGTGGTGCCCCCCTGTGCTTCTGACGCGGCGGCGCCAAGGCAGAGCCTTATCCACCCCCTCCTTTTCCTCATCCTCCTTCTTCGTCCTCCACATCGTCCTCCTCGTCATCTTCCTTTTTCCCCCCTACGTGGCGATCTAGGACTGCGACACCCTCCGGGAGGTCAGCTCATTTGCGCGCAGCGCCTTCAGCATGTGATCATAGATATCAGAGGATGGCCGCCGTTAACCATCCTCAACGTTTACCTGAAAGATTCAACAGGCCCAGCAGGCCTGAACGCGGAGATTCTTGCAGCAGCTGGGAGGGTACTATCGGGTGTATCGGGGCCTGGGCTTATTGCAGGTGACTGGAACATGGGCGCCTCCATCCTGGAGAACTCTGGTTTCCCTCAACAAGCTGACATGGTCACAGCTGTACCGTCGCATGTTACCTTTCGGGGTGGCACGGGCGTGAGCACGATCGACTATTTCTGTCTCAATAATGCGATCGTCAGAGGGTACAGAGGAGCTCATGCTGCCATGCAGTGACACAAGAAAGCTCATCGGCCAGTCCAGCTATCCCTCGTCGACAACGGTCACAGGAGTCAGCACTACGTTTACACGGTGTCGGCTAAGCTGCCTGCGACACCGCCGC